AAAAGCACAACCACATAAGCATTAATAATCTTTGCTTGCACACGTAATATGCAGACAGTTGCTTAGAGAGAGATCACAACATGCATGTTTAAGACCCTATCAGAAACCTGCCTGTGGCCCGCAAGATTAGAAAACGACTCTTTGTATTTTGGTTTTTTGGGGACAGTGCTGCTAATACGACACAGTTTTATCGAAAGCTTAAATTTTAATCCATCTCAGAGCTCCACCTCCCTCCCCACCCCCCCCCTTTTTTTTTTTTTTTTTAAAATCCAGTCTGCTGTTGCAGAAGTTTTCTCCAGCAACTTTCCAGAGGTCAGCAGGGAAAACTCACTGAACCTTGAAGTGGAAACTCAGGGCAAAAAGAAATAAGGGTATCGTGGCTACTGCTTGATACTGAAATCCATTTCATTTGTATTATTCATTGTTGTTGTGAATAAATACTTTATTGTCGGCCCATAGAGATAAATCTGACATGGCAGTCAATGTTTGTGTTTTCACAGAACAAAACATAGATGTTGTCTTAACTTTTGTGCTTTTCAAAACATTTACTTTCCTCTGCTATGGCTAAGTCTGACAATTTGAGGACAACTCAGAGCTCCAAGGCGGCTGACTCCAACTTTAACACCATTAGTTGTCATGGATGAAAAGACTAAAAAAAAAAAAAAAATCAACTGAGAGTAACACTCAAGTCAGCTGGTGTCACAGCAGTTAGCAATCTAAGGAGAGAAAATAAAGAGATAAAAAAAAAAAAACTCAGATGATTTCATTTTAAGCTGTTTAGAACGGCTGCTTCAAGGATTTGAAGGGCTCTGCATCAAGAACATCATGTTTGGAGTCAACTGACTGGGGGCTTTCTGTGGGACATCTAAAACTCCGGGAAATGCACTCATCTCTCATCTGATAAATGGAAAATGGATTTTCAGTCCAAAACGCAACTTTTAGAAGTGCATGCATTTTAATTCTCTCATCCTAAATAGAAAATACCTAACTACCATTTAATCCAGACTCAACCAGCAGTGTGGAAAATGTGAAAAGAATCGAAGAATCCGGCTATAACACGTCATTAATTATAGTTCAAAGCCAAGCGCTTGATCACGAAGCAGAAAAAGAAATCTGCAGCAGGTTTTACCCACACTCAGTTAATTGAAAGTACAAAGAAAACACATTATGGGTCAAATTATTAATCAGTCATGTGGAAACGGATGCGAGCTAACATGAGCGTCTCTCTAGATAGCCAACTTTCTCCTTAGACGTGTCTCTATTGCACCTAAATGGACTACAATTAGAAACAAGCAATTCTATTTCTTGAAGGTTAAAAAAATAATAACTTTGACCCTGTCTAAGTTAATATTCTACTTTTATTAAAAGTGGACGGCTCATTGAATTTTAAATAAACCAAACGTTTGAGCAGTTTAAAGTAATGAACACCAGTGGGCAACAGGTGTTATTTGATTTGCTTGTGATCAATAGTTTTCCCCAAACATTTCACATCATCTAGAAATCAGATTTGGACCTTTTAACATGATGTTGGGAAACATCTGCTCCAGGATGTCAACTTGAAGGAACATTATGCCACTTGCAGCACAATGTTTGGGCATCTAAAGCAAACGTTTTCTTGTTTTTCTGAATGTGTCGGAATTGTCAAGGACAACCTAACAGACTTACTTTCACAAGTGGAGCATTACAGCTACGTAATGCAAGTAGGGTTTCTCTACTGAAGTACGGGGGTCAATTAAAGTACTCAATGATTTTGTGCGGCACACGACTCCAATTTAAAGAATAATATAAATCTGGGAGCCCAGCACAAGAAAGTTAATGTAGATGTAAACTTAAAAAAAAAACATTAATGGAATATTTTTGATTATATTGAAATCTTCTTAAAATGGAAAAATGTTGGATATAACACAAAGTGTTTAGCTTTTACTCACTAAGATTTTTCGATTGTAATTTCTGCATAAATGAGACCACAAACTAACTTGGGGAGATCCTTTTAGTAAACTTGACCAAATACAGCAAGAGAATGAGAGACCCTTGTTTGGGTCTTTCCACCGAGAACATGTTAAAATATTTATTGACCAAAATAAATAAATTACTTTATTTTATTTTTTTTTTACTTTAATAGGAGACTTTTTGCATTTCTTATGCTACAATTTAAAAATACAATTTATGTTGCCTGTAAGCACTCTAAACTTGTTAATTATGGGGTAAACCAGTTTTAACACCATTTGTTTTAACATTAGTTTATTTTGGAACAAATCTTTGTAAAAGTGAAACAATGGCTTTCAGAAATCTCCATGGCCTTATTTTTCTGACCTCTCAGATCAGAATAACCTTCACAGCTGAACTTCCACCACAACCTTAAACATACAGCTGGTCCCTCTACGCGTCAGCTGGCAGTGAAAACACTAAAACCTTTTACTTAAATGCCTCAGAGCCTGATAAAGCTGCAAGTGGTCTGCCTGCATCCCTCAGGGGGTTTATCCTGTGTGAGCGCGTAATGATGCATCTACCCCCCCTGGACGTGGGCCCCGTTTATGCTAAAGCCTGCTTACCTGCCCCGGGGTGTCTGTGAGCTCCGTGTGCAGAGTGGCGCTGCACCCCGGCGGACAGGTAGCTCCCCTGGGCGTGCTGCTGCGGCGGCGGCAGCGACTGCTGCTGCTGCTGGTTCTCCTGGTAGCTCCGTCCTCCGTGGTGCGGAGCCCACCCGGGGTTACTCGGAGGCGGGTAGCTCACCCCTCCTCCGCTGGCGCTCATCAAGCCCCCGTCGTTGCCTCCAACGCTGCCGTTCATGGAGAAATGGTAGAAGCCAGATCGAGACCGCGACCGAGTCCTGGGGGGGTCCATGGCCGGAGAGCAGGTGGGCGGCGGTGGATGGATGGATGGATGAGGAGGTGGACGAGACGCGACCAACTTAGCTATTACTTAAGACCAACTACTCTTAGTAATTTCTGATGCATTTAAACGAGCATTTAACTAAATGAGATAAACCTGGAAGCTACAGGTTCAGGGAAGCACAGCCCTTTAAACACCATGCAGACACAATCTGCCCCATCCGCTCACTGTGTGGAAAAACGTTATTTCAGTTTATCTTTTTAACACAATTGCAACCAAAATATCTAAAGGAATATCTGTGTTTGCTCTACCAAAAAAATAAAAATAAATACAAAAAAATCGACAACAAAAATCAATTCTGTTCCTCAATACCAGAACAAGCCTTTTTCCTCCTTTTGTCTCTCGCTTTGAACACTGTTACAAGAAATTAAAGTGTTTTATAGGCACTGGTTACACGAGTGAGCCCAATCCAAACGTGTACATTTAACATCAACTTAACGCCGCCTGCTCTTTGTCACCAAAACCCAACCAAGTTCAACACTTCAAGCCGTCAACCCGAGCAAAGATGGCTAGCCGAGGAGAGCTAGCAAACTAACCCGGATACTCGGCATTAAATAAAAGTTATCAGCAAAGATTTGTGAGGAAAAATAGAAGTCAGGTGGAAGGACTGGCTGTCGCAGGCAGCGAAGTTACACCCCCTCTTTTGTGTTGGCTAACTATACCTGTTCGGTCATTAACATAATGTCGATTTTCCAGCGAGCCCGAGGCTAACAGGAAGCGAGGTCTACGGGGGAAAACAAGTCCAACGCTGCCGACATTACAGCCCAGCTACAGTCGCTCTGCGCCAACGCCGAGCCGTTCCTCCGACACGCGAACCCGCGGACGATGCCGACCCGCAGGAGAACGCAGAGGGCAGCCACGTCCGTCAACCAAAGCGGACGGTTTTTGTCTAATTTAAATCCCCTCTCGCATTCGCTATCGGGTGTTTTCTCTGGTCAGCGGGGAGTGGAGTGGAGATCAATCAATGGGAGCCTCGCATCTCTGTCAAGGCGCAATCAATCGATAACAGAGACTCGTGGAGCTCGTCGGCGCAGACATTTGCGTCACATTTCAAACTGTGCTGAATGGAGAGGGACAAAGAAGAGGTTAATTTCTTAAATATACACGATTCTATATTTTCCGCATGCAGAATCCTTCGTGCGCCATTTTGAATTGGGTTGTTTTTATCAAAGTCGACTACTTTGGTCTGGAAAACCTCAGGCAGCTGCTCTGCTCATTAATAATTCAGCAGCTTCGCAGCACAACTACTATGAGACGAGGCTTTGAAAAACCCCACTGGCTCCACACGGCTTTTATTCGTTCGGCATAAACAAATGCAAGCTTCATATTGACAGAGCGAACCACTTTTGTTTGTTGACCTAAATATTGCACTTTCTTGCAGCCTCAGCATTAGCTTACACTCACAAAATACGGTGTTTACGGTTCAAATGTCACAAGCAATAAAGGGACTTTTTTTTACTACTCGGCATTTAAATGTATTACTGAATAAAACATTATAGGAATCGCCCAAAAGTAGTTTACTGTGTCCACATTGCGACACGTAACACAATCAGCAAAAATACTTTTCATTGAAAATGAATTTACAAATTTTGCCCAGCCAATGTGATCATAGCTAGGAATTTGGCAGTCAAACTATGTAGATTCAGTTTTTTTTTTCTTTAAAGCAATTCACACTTTAGATATATTATTGCGTTGAATATTAAAAATGCAAAGTTTCACCATAGTGAAAAGTGTACCTTGCAAACAAAATTTAAGTGTATTTTGAGAATACATATTCATGTGCAAGTAGTAAAAACACTAATAAAAATGTAGTCATAAAGTAATAGCAATTAAAGTGGCAAAAATCCACCTTAAATCCTCAATGCAGCCCATTTAAAGGCTGGTTTCTACAGTAGATGGTAAATATTTGAAAATTGTCAATGTTTTAAAACCAGATTGTAAATCTACTTGTGCAAATGACAACTTGTGACAACTTGAAATCGTTCGACCTCAGTTTACACAAACTTAAACTGTATTTCAGTTCAAAGGTTCATTCTTGCTGCATAGTAGTAATGAAAAGGAAGAAAATAACCATAGCAAATCAGAGAAACTTTAATGGATCACAAATATAAAGAGACTCTTCACATGAGTTGAATCCATTTGCGCAGCTTTAATATTTATAACATTGTTTTTTAAAAACTTAAAAACATAAGTATAAACTTTCACAAAATAGAAAAACAGGTTTAAGCTACTTTCACACTTGATTAAATAAATTTTTGATCAAGATTTTTTATGCATTATTAAATACAAATTATAAGTAAACTGGAAGGAATATTTAATATTACTAAATGGGCAAAATTTTATATCACCTTTCATCTCCTTCGGTGTCGTACTCTCTGCTTTGGAGACAAAAGGTTTTCACTTCCAATGTCAATGTCTCTGTGTGGATACAAATCCTTGTGTTTTATCCCCCCTCTTTTCCTCCACTTCTCTGCCTCTCTGCTCTTTCTGCTCTTCTTTCCAACACTCTCCTCCCTCTTGTTCTCCTGAGAGGTTTTGGCCTCTCTATGACTGCGTAGGATAGGTTTGTAGGGGTCAGCAGGGTAAACTGCATCATCAATGGTGCAAAAATGCCTCCTCAGAAATCCTCCTTCCTGCTTCGCCTGTGCCTCCCTCCTCAGTCGCTTCACTTCACGCCTCTCTTTGCGCCTTTCAGGCCAGGTCTTCCTCCTTCCAGGATGAGCGCCAGGCTCCAGCTTTGTCCTGCATCTTCCCTGCACCAACGGCGAATCTTTGCAATGTTCCTGCTGTGAAGTTGGGGATCCAGCACTCACAAGGCCTGAAATCACAGACAGTACTTATTACATGTCAAATTTCACAATTTCAAAAACCTTTTGTATAATTAGTACAGCTGAAACACATAGTTCTAAATGTAGATGTATCTTTTTCAATAATTATTTAAAAGCAACTTTTAAGCACCTTTGGCTGGTGTGAGCGTCGGGGCATTCTGCTGGAGAATGTCATCCAGAGTGTCATAATAACAAACATAAGGCAGTGAGGGAAAAGTGCCACTGATCATCCTCCTCTTTGTGCACTTCTGATGTCAACAAAGACAATCATCCAAATGAGTGAGAGAAAATAGACAAAATGTAAGAACAGGGCATCCTGAGATGGTGAAAGTCATCCACTTACATGACCAAGATGTCCCCTTTTTGAGCAGTTGTAGCAATGAGCATGGTGGCTCTTACGTTTGAGACTGCTGGCGTTTCTGGGTCTGAAAGGAACCCCTAACTTGACCTAGAAAAAAAATGAAATTGATCTTTTATGATTTGCTAGGCATTAGACTAAAATGCATTGACAAACCCATACTTCAGTTACTACAGAGTAAATAAAAAATATTTTCCTCAGTTTTTCTTCTGCCTTTATCCTCACCTCTATTATTGGCATGTAAAGTATTGAGACCACATGTACTTTTCCATAGTTTATCACACTATAAATACAAACTTTATTGTGAGTTTTTGTGCTAAATCACCGTAAAGCAGTAAATAATTGTAAAGTGAAGGAAAAATGATCTGTGATTTTCAAGTTTATATTGAAAAAGTGAAAAGTGAGCCATACTTCCTGAGTCAATACTTTGTACAACCACCTGTAGCAGAGCTGCAGCTGCAAGTCTTTAAGGATGTGTCTAGCTTTGGAGACATATGGAGACAGAAAATTTCACCCAGTCTTGCTTGCAAAACTGAATGGAAAGTGTCTGTAAACACTGATTTGGATAATGAACCTTAGCTCTAGTCTTGAGCCATTTGCGGTCTCTAACAAGCTTCCTTGTAGGATTTTTTTCCTTTACTTCCATTGCATGCAAGTACCTCTTGATTTCATGGCAAGTTGAACAATTATTGTCATTCAAAGAACTTCATTTTATTGTTGACCTGCATATGACAAACCAATCAGAATCTATCCTTTAAACAGCTGTAATCATCTCTCAATAAATCCTGACCTGTTTTTCTCCCCCTGTTACAAGATCGTTCCACTATCATGATTAACCGTGGGGTTGGTGTGTTCACGCAAGGATTTGCATGAAAGTTGTATTTTGATCATATCTGACCAGGAAATAATTCTCCACATGTTCGCTGTCTCTAACATGGCTAATGGAAAACTGTAAGTTGATCTTCTGAGGGCTTTCTTCTTGTCTCTTCCATTGACGCTGTATTTGTGGAATGCAAAGCAAATAGTAGGTCTGCAGGCAAATTCTACTCCCTGAGCTTTGGACCTCTGTAGCTCCTCCAGAGTTACCACCAGATTCCTGGCTATCTCGATGACTAATTATTTCCTTGTCCTGCCTGTATATAAAGGTGGACGGCCATGTCTTGATGTTGTAGTTGTGATGCATCTAATTCCAGATTAATTTGGAATAAAACTAAACTTTCTCTTACAGTCAGGTGGTATTGTCGCCATGAATCTGGGCAGGCCTAAAAAAAAAAAAACACAGCAAACAAAGAATAAGAATTTTCCTCTGACCAACATCCAAATACACACCATAGTTTCACAGAAGAGGAGATGCAGAAACAGAGCAACACTTTATAAAAATTGGGCTAAAATACAGGCATATTCACAAGATTATAGAATAAAGTTTTCAAGAATTTCTTTAACACTAAACACACTTTAATCAAAACAATCCAAAGAATTTCTAATGGTAATTGACAGACGAACTCACATCAAACACGTGGCCGGTCACCCCGCAGCGCTGGCAGTGCTGCTTCCACATTGGAGGCACTCGGCAGGGCTTGAGGGCATGCGAAGGCAGCCCACAAGTGGAACAGGGCCGGCTCGGACAGTCTCTTTGGACGTGGCCCTGGACGCCACAAAGGACACAAGTGGGACTTTTCTGCAGGGGAGAACAAGATTTTTTATTGTTTTCGATTGATGACAAGAAGTTGTCAACTAAGTCTTATTATTTCCCACATTAGGAAACAAACATGGGCGACTTTAGCTGTACCTTGTGAAAGTAACAACTTCTGGCAACGTGTCCCATCCTGTTGCAGATGTTACAGACGGATGAGCGACCAGCCATGAAATAGCGACTGCTCAGAGACTGAATGCTTCCATACTGGACACATTGAAAAATACAAATTGTGTACAGCAAATAACTATTTCTGAGCTCTTGCAACACATTTGCACTGAGTATTCTTTCAATAATCAAGCTTAGTGTTTTAAATCCAGATAATAAAGATTACCTTGTCTTTGTCTGAGACAGCCCAGATATCCCCTCCTGATTTCACTTTCTTGTCTGGTTTACCTTGATGAAGAAAATGACCACAAAATATCACCTTTACCTGTTAGTGCAGAGGCCACAAGGGCTGCACAATATGAGGAAAATATGCACTAATGACGGTGAATTCTGGAATAGGAACACAACCGGCAACAAGTGATTAAGTGTATTTTGGTTTGATAGACCCCATGCAGTCTGTCTGGCTACTGGTGGGGATTAAAAAAAATCAATCCATCTTAACAAAAAAAAGTTGGATTGATTTGTTCTGCTTCTGCTTTGTTTATTGAAGTAACTCAGTTGTTGTTTCTTAAGTTTCTTTTAAGCTCCAAAACTTTTTGTGCTGCATTATGTCACCAAATATAGCTCTGGCATTCAGAACCTGAACTCTTAAATAATTTGACATTACTTGTTGGAGTTCAGGCAGTTCTTGGCAACATACAAGGTATGTGCGATAATGATACATTTGCGATATATTGTGCACCCCAGGGAGCGCTGTATCAGCATCAGGAGTCTAGAAAATCTTTACTGTATTAAACATCCACATATTGCTGTACTTTTTGTGTAGCTCTATAATACTGCCTTCACATAAACAATAGATGGCAAAAAAGACCAAGTATAAAAAGATGACTGAGTTTTATTGAATGTAGGGAATTAATTACAAAATTCAAGTCTTTAATACCAAACTTCATTGATTTTTGTAAAAATTATAGTTACAAGCTACTTTGATAAGGCGAGCACTAATGAGAGAAGCAGACAAAGAGCCCGTAGTTACTCTGGAAGAGCTGCAGAGATCCACAGCTCAGGTGAGAGTATCGGCTGAAAGGAAAATAATTTGTGCCCTCCTCAAATCTGCAATCCTGTAAAAAAAACCTGACAGAGGCTGCAGCAGTTTCCTCTTCAGCATGACAACAACCCAAACTTACTCTGGACTACACTGAAATAGGGGCCCTATGCAATCCATTTAGCTAAATTTTATTTATTTATTTTAGTTAAAATTAGACAAAAAATGTTTTGCACTTCATCTACTGTGATAAAAGTAAATACATAATGTTGGCAAAGACGATCTCTAACCTTCATCTTCAACATCCTCCTCAGAGCTCTCCCAGCAGCCGAGGTTGAGCTGGATGCTTGGGTCCTCCGCCTGCTCCTCTCCATCCAGGATCATCCACTCCTCAATAGGCTGATCACTGTCTTCTTCCAGGTGCTCCTGTGAATCAGCACTGGAGATACTGCTGGTGTCCTGCTGAGTCTTTCCAGAGGTGATGGAGAAGGCAAGGAGCAGCGGAGGAGAGCTGTCTCTGCTCAGCTGTGAAAACAGCTTGGCGCTTTTCTCGTGTTTCACGTATCCAGAACACGCCTCTTCTCCACTCTCTGAAGTGATGGAATCCTCAATGAAGAATAGCTGGTCCGATACTTCATCTTTATTGACAGAGTTCATAGTACAGTCTTAGACCGGCTACGCAGCGCCGCTCAATGGTGAAGCCGTGTATTGCAGCTAAGCAGCGCGGGACGATAACGCATGTTACACTGCTACTTCTCAGTTCTTACCCCAACCGAAATTAAATTGGATCAAGTTATTTTAAAACTTTTTTTTCAAATACGTTAAAGGATGTTCAGTAAATGTCTCTAACATGTCAGAAACACGCCAAGGCAAAGGAGCAGTACACTCGCAGCTAGCAAGAAAGCTACATCACAAACACGGCTAATGCGACGTCAAAACAAATGCGCTTTTGTGTAGTAAACTAATTTATTGGACTGCATCTCGGTAGCGATTACCTCTGTTAACTCAAAAGCGCATTCCTTCTATAAAGCAGAGGCAAATGTAGTTCCCAATAAGCAGGTTTTGTGTGCATGTGGTTATGATTTGAATTACCCAGCCGGCGTTTCCGGAAAAAGTTGGACACCCAAAAATAAACCCGGAGTTACGTCACTTTTCTTTTCCGGGGAAATTAATTAATGGAGAAATTACATTACAACTTATCTGAGCCAGAAAGGTCTGCAACCTGCGGCTCTATGAACCTTCCGTAGTGCTTCCTAATAACTTTGACTGTCTGTTTTTAAAAATAGACATGATAAAATTCTGGTTTTAGCAGATTTTCAGTTTTTTTGATGCAATAATTGCATTGAATCTTCACAAGAGATAGTAAAATGTGCATCGTTTTCCACAAGTATCAACATCCTATAGAAGAAATGTATGTCTCTACTTTTTTAGTTAACTCATCAGTTAATTACAAAATATACAACTTTGCAAAAGTTTTTTATTTGAAACCTGACAACAAAAATACAATGAAGGTCTTTAAAAATGACCTATAACATACTTATCAAATTCAAATTGTCTTTTATTAAAATATGTTAATTTTGCAACTTTTTATGTGTTTAATGTACCTGGACTGGGGGAAAGTGGCTTTTTGAATAATAAAGATTGTCGACCTCTAAAACAACTCGTATAGCCTACTCCTAAAGTCTACTGTGTATTTTTTTAATTAGTTGAGGAAATTATATTTTACAGTTGTTAAGGCTTTATAAAATGAGTTACTGTGTCCTATTTTAAATATAAAAATATTCATAACACTTTTTTGTCTTTTTTCTTTCTTGTGATATTACAGCACAAAGCTCAATGCATTTTATTCATAATTTTATCGATATAGCCTATATATATATATATATATATATATATATATAATATATATATATATATATATATATATATATATATATATATATATATAATATATATATATATATATATATATATATATATATATATACATACTGCTGTTAGTTTACAAATCACTGAACGGTTTAGCACCACAATACATCAAAGATCTGCTGTTGTTGTATCAACCTTCCAGACTCTCAGGTCTTCTGGTTCTGGTCTGCTCTGCATCCCAGAACCAGAACCAAGAGAGGAGAAGCAGCTTTCAGCATCTATGCACCAAAAATTTGGAACAAACTTCCAGAAAACTGTAAAACAGCAGAAACCCTGACTTCTTTTAAATCGCAATTAAAAACACCTGTTTAGAATTGCTTTTGAAATGTAATATGTAACAATGTATTGTCTATTATATGTTGCATGACTTAGTGTTCTTGTGTTTATGATGTAAAGCACTTTGAAATGCCTTGCTGAAATGTGCTATACAAATAAATTTTGATTGATTGATATATATGTGGGGGGGGGTTGCGTGTGTGTGGGTGTGTGTGTGTTCGTGTGTGTATGGGGGGGCGGGGTCTTTGTTGTGTGTTCCAAACGTTTATCATTGTTTCATTCTTTAAAGTCCTGCTTTTTGTTCAAACTGATGCATAATAAAAAGTACATTATATTGCAGTTCTTTCTCTCAGCATTGCAAGAGCTCAATGCTGGGTTAAATCTTTATAATATTTCAAAAGGAACAATTGAACGACATCGACAATATGAAGTTGAACATTTAGAACTTCCTTTTAAAATCCAGATATACTATATAAAGCGAGTGTTCGCTTAGGGCTAAAAACGCATTTGTTACAATTTGTCCCGTCTGCGCCCTTCTTTGCGTAAATGCGCTCGACGGAACCATAAGCGCCTCAGCCCCGCCTATGCGCTCAGAGGCTTTCGCCGCTGTTCACTGATCAGGTGCTGAAAGTGTCGCAGGGAGGGAGTCTGCATTTGAAGTTTGAAGTACTTTATTTTCAATTTCTCCGTTTGTTTGAAGGTCCATCGCCAAAAACTTTGGACACAGAGCTGGATCCAGGATGTAATTTTCTTGCACAAGTTTCTGTGTCTTATCTAAACCTTGGCGGTAGAACCGCGACAAGTCCGGCAGGTCGTGGTACTTTTTGACGCGTTCTGTGATGGAAGTAAGCTTTGGACCGGTTCCGTTCACAGTTGCGCACAGTAAGTATCGGAGCCTCGCATCCTCTCCACAGAGGCCACCTGAAGTCCTGGAACTTTGTCCTCTCGTTCTGCGGCGCCTCTCAGGGCTCGGCGGGGTGAACCAGCTCGGCGGAGTCTTCATCAACGGGCGGCCGTTACCGCACGAGGTCAGACACCGGATCGTGGAGCTCGCGCAGCACGGCGTGCGCCCCTGTGAGATCTCGCGCCGTCTGCGCGTCAGTCATGGCTGCGTCAGCAAAATACTGACCAGGTAGTATCAGTCATATTGTCATTCGCGTGTGTCCCAATGTGGAATCAGGAAGTTATGACATCATAAAATCGCTCCAAACCATGCCAGGTATAATGAGACGGGAAGCATCAGACCGGGACTGATTGGTGGCTCCAAGCCCAAGGTGGCGACCCCCACCGTGGTGCAGAAGATCCTGCAGCTGAAACACAACAGTCCCACGATGTTTGCCTGGGAGATCCGAGACAGGCTGGTGCTGGAGCAAGTGTGTGACCCAAGCAACGTCCCCAGCATCAGCTCAATCAACAGGTAAGGGAGTCCTGGTGTGTTTCAGCGTTTCTGCTCATTGACAGCAAAGATCTGCAAAATACGTGTTGATTGTTTTGGTGTTTGTAGGATCATCAGGAGGAAAGTGAAGCCTTGTGAAGATGGTGAGTCTCTCAGTAATACTTGCACCTCTGTATCGGCAGCATCATCTGTTTCCATGGGAGCAGACTGTCCCTTTGAGTCCAGGTTTTCAATAGGAGGGATTCTGGGACTCAGAAAATTCAACAAACAAAACGAAGGTGAGAATCATTATATGTTCAAAGAGCATGTGTCCGTAATACAAAGAGCAAATTTAAGTGATACTGACATTTTGGTCAAATGACTTAAATATTTCTCAAAGATTCAACATCATTTTTGTTGTGAAATGATCTTTGTTCTGTAGCTGGCAAATATGTGTGTTTTGACAAGGGCTTTCTGTAATCTCTAATTTTATCCTTTTAAAATTAAAGGGAATCAAAAGATGTAAATCTATTGATTTACATTATAGACTTGCCCATAATATTTATCAGATATACAGAACAAAAAAAAGTGGTTTAGGTTCATGACAACTGGTATTTCACCAATTAGTTTCAAACAATCCAACAGATGACAGATTGTTTTTTGTCTATAAAATACTTGGTGGGTTTTTTTTAACAAGTTGAGGTGTGATAATTGATGTGGTGTGTTCATTTCGTCCAGATAAACCTGTCATGTTTCAAATTGTTTTAAATTTATCTGAATCAATTTTAGTAAGCTGAGTGTGCATACAATGTTACGTCCGTGTAATCAAATAAGCTTGTCTATTTAGGATATCTTTCATCTGAAATGTGTTTTTATACTAAATGAATGTCTTCAAAAAAATAAAGACATTCATTTATGTCTTTATTTATGTCATAGAATCAAAAGATTTCAATCTTTTGATTCTATGAACTGTTGCTTTTCTGCTTTTCACATAATCTTTGTTGAAACGGTTCACTTAGATGGCAAAAAACTGTTTTCATAATTTTGGGTGATATGTTTTATTACTTTTGCCTGTACATTCATGCAAGCTATATTATTTTATTTTTATATTATTTTTCTCTCCACACATCAAAGCGATTCAACATGTTTAATCACAATTTAAGTTTTTAATCGAAATCTTTAGAGATAAAGGTCACAAATGTTTATTCTCAATAAGAATAAACATTTTAAGAAGCTACGAATACACACAGCATTTGTTAAAATGGCTTTTAACTGGAGACCACACAGAAGACTGATGCATAAGACTTTGTGCTTTATGTTAATATAAGTCAGACGGAGACACTATAGGCAGCAGGAGGTCCACTTCATCTCCACAGGTCTACATCCTCCTCCCTGCCTCCCTTTCCATCACAGAGAGAATTAGAACAGGCGGCTTCAGAGACAAATAAGCGTAGTTATCTGCACGAATACAGCCATTCATGTGGGCTGTTTTCCATTCTTCTAATGAGAACAAATGGAGGTGGAAATGAAGATAAAACTAAACCTATGCTGAAGCTGTTCTGTTTTCCAGGAGCAGACGAGTCCTGCGGTGAGCACCACACCCAGCCCTGTTTCTGGAGCAGGTCTGACCTCAGCTCGACGTTTCGCTATCAGCTGCCGGCGAACCACCATTCAGATCTGTTAGGTTAGTCTGCGCTGATCTGACATGGCACCCGGTGGATCTTTCGCCTTCGGTCTTCGTTTCACAGAAGAACAGAATTCGTCATGTCTAAAATCGGAGAAAACATATTCAAATAAAACTAAAACCACCCTCCTCTTATGTTGTTATTTGTTTACATAATTTGGAGGAAAGAACAGCCAGGTTGCTGTGATCAGTCCAGAGTGTTGTGGCCTGTCCCTGCGGTCATTTTCTGCTCAGTCAGTGGCTGTAAAGCAACATCATTAGAGGCCCCATGATGGACAACACTGACTGCTTGCTCTCCTTTGTGTCCAATTCCCTCGCCTGCTCTCCAGGATGAGGAATCTAGGAAGATGAGAGCTGCTGAAGGGACCAGCGGGGTGAAAAACCCCATCAGAGTAGCTCAGTGCATTATTGTGTGAAGGCATACACCGACCAACAATCAAATTGATTTATGAAGCAGATACTGACAGAATTTCAGATTGATTCTGTTTGTTTCTGCAATGCATGTGTGTTGTGTTGTGATTGAGCAATGAACAAGCTGCCTTTTCACATTTTACTTTTAACATTTCTCAAAAATGTCCCATTGACTTTGTCTCTGTTATGTTGCAGTACAGTAATTCTAATAAGAGGACATTATCATAATATATAGATAAACTACTTTATATACATTGATAATATTAGAAAACAGTACATTTGGTGGGAAAGTGGTCTATAAAGAACCTCAGTGTTTTTCAGCACAGCTAGAAGTAAATCAGAATGAAGCCACAGAAGAAGAAAAAAAAAGGTAAACTAAAGAAAAAACATCTGGGCAGACTTTTTTGTTCTGCTATGTCCATACTCAGTCTCTAGAGGGCAGTGTTTGCATCACAGAGAGTGCCACAGGTTTCTTGCTTATATCTGTGTTAATAAACTAATAACACTACATAACAAGTGACACAAAAACAATCTAAGTTTAAATCCCGCTGCTGCTGTTAATCAATACACCTCAGAAATACTACAGTTTGTAGACCATGTAGGAAACGTCTGTGTTGTCATGGACTCAGATTTTGGTTTTAGCTGTAATGAGTCGACTACCGAGCTGCCATTCTGATAACATTTCCAGAATGAGAGTTTTCCGTATGAATATGGTGCAAAAAATTCCTGTGATCCTTCATTTCCTGTAAGTTATAACAATCTCTGCCTGCCTGCTCATCTGATATGCAGCTGTCAAAAATAAATTCTCATATCACACAAGTTTTTTTTTAAATTATTGCACTGGCTATATTTTTTCAGTTAAATCAGAAAGGTGAATGTTTTATTTCATGTACAAGGCACTGAATGGTGTTGGAGTTTCAGATATGAGTCATGTGGGTCCTTCAGGACATCAGAGGTCTGTTCACTCAGTGCTTCCTGGACCAAAACTAAACAAGGCAAAGCAACATTTATATTTATTTTATTTTTTCTCTGCTCTGCAACAGATTGTACAAACAAAAATGGGGCTGCAGATCATGTTGGCTGCTTGAAACAAGTCAGGTATGATGATATATAGATGCTTTATCCATATCAGGAGTTGATTTACTTTGCATTTTTATGTGGCACTAAAATATCTCATCTAGAGGGAGACATGCTTTATAATGGCCAGAGCAGTAAAAAGCTGTATATGTTCTATCAAGTGACTTTGGAGTAGCTTGAAACTGCAACACCACACACTGAAAAAAGTGTTTCTTTGAGCCAACTTTAAAAAAAATTCTCTAATTTATCACAGCTAATTGTATTAGTTTTGCTCAAGCTATAAATTAAATCTGAATTATAGCTTGAGCAAAACTAATAAGGTTAACTGTAACAAATTATTTTTTTAAAGTGAGTTCAAAGAAACATTTTTTCAGTGCAGTCCGTAAGACATTAAAACTTATTAGAAAATAATGTAAAAAGTTGAACATCCTTAGAGGAGACATGGGCAACATTTATCGATATAAATCTAATCCATTCAGGGAATCTTTAAAAACAACAACAACATATTTTCTTTGACTTTTATATTTTGAAACACAGTGTAACATTTTATTTTCACGATACTTTTTATCTGATATGTTACTGCTGTCGTTGTCACTCTTCAGCACTGACTGCAATAAATCCAGCATACTTAAACCCAGTGTCAGATTTCTTTATTGCCATAAATTCAGAGCTTTTGTTCTTTGCATTATAAAGTCTCACCTTATAGGATTCAGGTATTAAATGGGAGCACAAGAAAATCCAGTGCGAAAAGGAATCTAAACTGAGACTCCAAGTTGAGCTGTTTATTTACTCACACCTCATTTTTTATTGCTAATGATTAATCCGTCCTACATTGAAAAAAGCCTGTGCGTTTGTGTGTGAACTAATGCCAACACACTTTACTGCACATGAGAATAAAAAGCAAATTATCAGGAGTCATGCCAGGTACAAATGCTGATCGTTCTTTGGCTTTTTTTAAACTAACTACTTCCTTCTTTGTAAATCAGTGCAGAATTTCCCGGCTCAGAGCCAGGGCAGCTCTGAGGCTGCGCCGGAAAAGTTAGGATGGGTGGGTTTATAGACCAGTGATAAATCAGTGCATATCAGCTCGCACAAAAATACAGAGGAGCTCAGTTTTCCCAGGACTCAGCTGAAAGGCAGACGAGCGTTGAGGCGAACCGGGCAAGGAGAAGAAAGTCGTTGATCTGATGGAGGGCAGGCCGCACCCGAGAGCTGTGCACAGGAGGAGGGAGACAATCACAGCTTTGCCTCTGTACCACTATGGAAACCTGCAGAAGAAAACCATCAAAGAGCAGGTAAAATAGCCTACACTGCAATTTAGTAGAAGTTTGAAACTGGAGATTTAAACACAGATACTGTCAATACTGGAGGTATTCATGTATTTTTATTATTTTTATTTTTGGGCTGATTCTCTTTGTCACTAATTTTTTAGAAACCTGGTCTTGTTACCGAGGTCGGACTGTGAGTGCTTTATTTTGCGGGAGGCTATTTTCAATCAATAGTTTATGAAGAGGATTGATACCTACTGATAGATGCACATTCTTTGAATAATGAGTCCAAAAAAACTAACTTAAAACGGTACTGTTTTTATATATAAGTAAACTAGCAATCTCAATTACTTAGCCGGAGATTAAAAAAATTAATTGCACTTTAGAGTACCATAAAGATGAGGGTCAGTTTATTGGATTGCAGTTCTGTGCAAAGGTTAACATTTCTTCCCCAGCAGCAACTCAAAAAGACATTTATGACTTTCAGGATTTCAGGAACTTCTACGGAGAGCTCAGAGGATCAACACTGTTTCTGTACAACAATGTCTCACAAGACACAGTAAGGACACAGTTAAAGCTTGTCTGTCACAAAACAATGTGGTCAAACTTAAATGAAAGTATTTTTCATGTGCAAGACACCAAAATTCCAAAGAAACTTATCAGAGGGGCAATAAGGAAGTACAGGTCTGTTGATATTTCATCCATTAAACCGCCACGGGACTTTCTGTTTGTTTGCCAGTACTCAGAAAGGCTGGACCTGGGCCTGATAAAGTCCATGAACATGGAGTCTCCTTATAAAAAAAAAGTGCCAACCATTTTCACCTTAAGCTTTCCCCTGGAGGAGGTGCAGCTAAAGGTTTGTGAAACTTCAGACGGACTCAGCATTCATCACAAAAATGTCACTCAGCTGATTTTAAAAGCTGGATGATGTGAAAACACACTGTTCACCAACACTCGTGTTGTTTTCTGTGACTCTGCAGGTAGATAATGTTGACACAGGAGCGGAATGGAGAGGCTACCTTATGACTCTGGTTAATGTAAGTCAAAGATCTGAAAAGCAGAAAAAAAACTCAGGATGAACACGAGGCTCACAAGCTTGAAAACCCTTGTTTTATTTTGTGTTCATGGGAAAATTACTTTTTCAACGTAGGTCAAGTACTCTGTCATTAGATAAAGTTAAATTCATTTGTCTTTCCGAACTCCATCATCTAATTTCAAGATAATTAATTTCATGTAGACAATCAGTTCAGCTGGAGATGAACTGATTGAATCATTAGCAACACATATGAGCAATAAAATTAATCTAATTAATATAATTGAGATGATATAATTTAATTTTTCAACATTTCAGATTTGTAAATGAGATTTTAAATGTTAGTGGGGTTTTTTTTTCCAATTAAATTCAGTGAGAATTAATATAAAATTAAATATGTCCAAAAACATTGAAAAGTACTAATACAATATTTATCTGTAAAAGTTGTTTTCTTGTGGAAAAACTCATCTAGCTAAAATTTAGGACTGAGCTTGTGTTAACTTTTACATTAGCAGAAAGAATTGATGGAAATTTTATAAAAGATGTTCTTTTACTATCATCCTCCTGCTTGCCATGGTATTGCAGCTTGCAAAACATGTTCATCATCTCTGCTTGTAGAAGAAATACAACATTAGTTGTGGCTGATTTGTAAAGTTACGGCTGAGCTCTTGCTAATCAGTGTCACTGTGTAATAAAATCGAATAAACAATGTGTTTCCACAGCATACGTTGAAAGTTTGTCCTTCAGATTACTGTACATCTCTATAGAATGACTCACAAGTCAGTTATTAACCTGATGTCATAAAAGACTTGTTTTTGAACATTGTTTACCTCAAAGTGCTAAGAAGGGGAAAAAATCCCTCCAAAATTGAGAAAGTGGTAACTCTAATACATAAAGCCTCCTAAATGTGGCACGTTTCAGTTCGTGTTAATATTTTAAGAAAAGTCTGCATTCAATTTTCTCTCCTGTATTTTAATGATGAACTCCGTTGTGTGTTGTAAACAGTAATCTCTATTTTATTGCAGAAGGAGATTCCCTCAGACCTTCAGATGCTGCCTGGTCAGAAAATGAAGCTGGAGGAGATGCTGGTTCAGGAAAAGAAAAGAAACCCTCAGCTGCAGCGCCCTGCTCTTCCACCCCGACCGGGCTTCCTGCAGACCAAAGATATTCCTGACATGCCTGCGTGAGTTAAGCTGACAAAAACAAAACGATTCACTTTAGAAGCTTTTATAGGATGTCGATGGTGTCTTTTTGCTTGCTTTGCTCCCTGCAGTTGTTATTTCGACGTGACCCGACAGGAGGCTGAAAAGCTCCTCAGTGAGAACCCGGAACATGGAGACATCATCCTCCGCCCGTCCACCATGCCCAAGAACTACGCCCTGACGCTCAGACAGAAGACAGACAGGTTCACTCAGACTTCAGCCTGATCTCATTCAGCAGCTCTGATTCCCCCACAGAACTTCAAAAATAAACCAGCTGGCTGTGAAAGTTCATTTTTATAACTGTTATGTTAAACAGACAAAGAAGGAAAACCAAACATTTCAGCCAGTTAGACCAACGACAGAAACAACGTTAATCTGCATTCAGAGTAAGTCTCTTGCTGTGCATTGTGTTGCAGAGGGCATGTCCTGAAGAACTACAGGGTGACCTCCACCAGCACTGGCTTTGTGATCGAACTTGAGACTCCAGTAAGTCAAAAGTATTTGTTTTTACGGTTGAACAGCTCTCCTCGCAATCCACACCCTGAAACTAAAGAAAGAAAATGGTGACATATAACAAAAATGAGAAAGAATCAAAGAACTATTCGGATTATTTACTGAAGTAAATGTCAAAAAAACAATTCATTGATAAAACTATGTAGTCAGCTTTACTGTGCAAACACAGCAAAGAAACCAATTCTAACCAGGATTTTTTTTTCTTTCTCAATGCTTCATTCAATTTATTGTTTTCTAAAGGAAAATGCAGTTTCGCACATTAGCATCCATCCATACTGAGGAAAAAATATTCAGACATTCTGGCTTATTGATGTAAATGGTTTGAAATAATTTAATGACAACAGCCAATAATTCTGTTGTTTTATCAAATAATGTTGTGACGAATTTTAAATAAAGTGCCTAAAAGAAAATTACATTAGTGATTTTTCATATGTAATAACCACTGCATATCAGTTTCATGCGTGTTAGAAAGAACTGTGTTTTTAGCTATTATGTAACTAAGGCTGTTATGAAATGTCATAATGTCATGAGATTGAATAGACGTAGACAGTGCGATCGCACCACTCACAACAAATCAGTTGTGCAACATTGTAAATGATTCACGTCCAATTAAATAAAAAAGATTCAAGGATTTCCTTGTTACATCAGAAGCTAAACAACAATCGACACAATGAGCCACGTCAGTTTCTCCTACAATTTTCTCTCATATTTCTGTCTTAATTCTGGGACACAAACATCGCTCAGTGGATTCATATCCATATTCTTTTCAATAATAATAAGAAGAAGCTCCCATTTCTTTTCACTTTTCTTCCTATTTTGTGATTTTAACCAATTGTTCTTTAGATGTTTCTAAATGGAATCAAAAATTGTTTTGGCACCATATTGTGGAAAATGCTCTTAGTTAACACTAAAAAAAACCTATTCTGTCTTTCAAGATCTGTGCAGGTTTGACTGATAAAACACAAATTGCGTGTTTGACGCAGACTCCAGTGAACAAACGATCGAATGACGTTTTGTTTCATGTGTAGACTAATATCTGGTTCATCTCTTGAGTTCAGGGTGCCTGAAAATTAAAAGGGTCAGCGGGGAACAACGAAACAAACACTCTTGAACAGAAATGAAAAATTTCAAAATTACTTAAATAAATACACCAAGGCCTGATTAAAAGATTAAAAGAAGATCTGGTTCCATCTAAGGACAATATTAGGAAATGAGGGGTGACTGAGCACATTCAGATCACTGCGTGTTACATAGGAATTTATGTTATGAACTTTATATATCAGCAGTTTCATAGTTGATTGCGATATGCAGATTTTTTTAAAAAATCTTGTTTTATTCATTTTTATTTATTTCAGAGAGATCATAGGGGAAAAAATAGCCATGTTTATGTAGTTACTTTGTTGGGACAGTTGAATCTTAGTCTGGAATATGTTTCTCTGACGTCACATGATAAGTACACCAGTGAAAAATACATTTAATAGCTAATTCGTCCTTAATGTTTACTCTGCAGATGACAGTCCGCTCACTGAATGATGTACTGAAGTACTTCCTGGAGAAGACAGAGTATCGTCTCCGTCCCTACGTTGTGGCTCAACCCTACGACACTCGGATTGGTGAGGATTAGCACTCCTCTGAGAAACAAATGAGTTCGCATTGACACAGATTCACATCTGTTTTTGTTTGACAGTAGTGGCTCCTCCCCCAAAATGTGCCAACATGCCACCGCCTGCTGTCCCCAAAGCTCAGGTGGCCCCCATGCAGCGATCCCAGTCCAAAGACAAGCGTCTTCCACCCGTCCTCAAGCCTGATGAGGGAGAATATGTGTTACCAGAAGATCCCATGATGGACGATCAACTGATGAAGAAAGGTAAATAGACACTCAGACAAATTTACTTGGATCCTGAGTAAAGATGTCTTGAAAAACTACCGTAAAATAGATTTTCTTTTTTTCTTAAATGATACCATTTAAGAAAAAACATTGGTTTACACAATCACAAGTGTGTCAGTTATTGGTAACCCTCATTAACAAGGGCAGTTAGAGGTGAATAAAACAAGTCACCATTGGAGAACTGCGTCGTAACAACCATTGGACAATATCTGCATAGCAACTGGTTGGACCTTCTCTGTCCATCCACTTGTCCAAACATGGGGAGTTTGTTAAACTGGGATTTTAATTCAACCTATATGTTTTTGTTAGATAAGATCCAGACAGCCGTTTTTAACTAAAAATATATACAGCTTATTTGATGAGAAACTCAGCAGTATCATGCCCACAGTCAAGTACGACAGTGGAACTATGATGCTGTGGGCCTGTTTCTCTTCCAAAAGAACCTTGTTAGGGGGTGTGGCATCAGTAGACCTTGAAAGAAAATCTGGTGGACTTTGAGAAAACAAAGAAATTGCACAAATAGAAAAACAAAGTTTATTCATGCTCCAGCCTCGGAAAATAGGTAAAAATAAATGTCCAGCTGCTGATTGTATTTCTGAATATAGAAAATGATCCACTGAAAAGAATATGCTCAAATGCGAGGTTACATTTTTCTGAAATGTTGAGTGTGAAATAATGCTTCTGGTATAAAAGAAGAGATTAATTCACATCATAACTAAAGTTCAACTGAATGCATCATCACTGTTTGTGTCAGTAGATCAAACTGATTGTAACACTCTTTTCTTTGGGTCTTAATCAGCTCAGGTGGCTGATGAGCTCCAGGCAATTTTGCAAAAGAGAAAGGAAAACCTCTACATGGAAACTGGAAAGGACCAAGACTGCACGTACCAGAATGAAGAAGGTGAAAAATTCAAATCAAAGGTCCAGTGGACAACCAACGTCTCCATGCCATGAACTTTAACTTCCTGCCTAATATGTGGCTCAAAGATTACAGGTTTTACTGAGTTCTGCCACCAGAATCCATTTTTTTTTTCCTATGGGGATATTAAATGTGTACAAAAGTTAAATCAAACATATATCAGTTCTTAGTTAATTATCAGAGAGGCAGAAGTGTGTGGGAACCATTGAATTCATTTCTTTCAACTCTGTCCAGAGTTAAAAACAGAAAGCAAACATATAAACAGAAGTTTGGGGGATTTATTTCCAAAGAAAGTCACTTTGATGACAAAGATTTAAAACAAGCTACTTGTTTTAAATAAAGGAAATAGTGCAACGTGATTTTTTTCCAAGTTAGGGGGATTTGGTCAAACACTATAGAAGTTTCAAGTTACACCTGCAATCTACAGTCAGAAACCAGTGAAGGAGTAACAATATTTGCTAAAAAAAAAAGTAATATAAAATTTGGTGCTTCTGATGTTTTTGGATAGAAACTTTAACTTCACAACAAACTAAGAAAGACTGTATGTTTTATTGTAAAAGTTGTTAATATTCAACTTATTTGTTGTATTTTATCAATGCACATAAAGCTGATAATGTCTGGATTCGATGCCATTTCATTAAGAAAAGCGTCTTGTGTCAAAATGACTAAAAATCTGACAAGCTAATTGTAGAAGACTGAAATAGCAAAGGAAAAAAAAGTTATTTTAAGAAAGTTTCTAAATCTAGGGTTTTTGCACCACCAGCCCTCCATACATTTGTAGCTTTATGATAAAGTAGTATTTTCTGAAATGGTCCCCTTGTGTCATGAAGGGATTGTCGGCTAGCAGTACCTACACTGAGCTCAAGACTGTCTGCGACCAGAACACGGGCGACCCAAACTTCAACAAACCCCAGAGAACCCAGCTCTTCTGAGAATCTCCCCCTGCACTACACTTTCTCTTTCTACACCATCACATCTGACAGAACCTGCCTGGTGCTCTTCCCTCCACCATATGTGTCTACATATATATGTGTATATATATATTCTCTATATATTCTAGCCTTCTGTTAGTCGATCATTACTGTTAATTGGCTACTAACAGCCTGTTAGCTTTGATATTAGCTGTTTTATGTTATAGCCTCATTTGACTTCTGCCAAATGCATTTATATAAAGTGTGATTTTGTTTCACAACTCACTGTTGACACAGAGAGAGAGAGACTTTCACATGTGAGAAAGCCATGTTACTGTGAACATTCGGCAGATTTTCTGTTTAGAAAGTTTCAGTTTTGGCTAAATATACTTTTTTCATTATTGTTATTGTGACAATGTCCAATGCAAAATAATTCCATAATGAAGATGTAAACATGTAAAATATTTTAATGCAAGTTGAAGACAGAATAATAATCCAAGATTATCTTTTATTTTTTATTTTTCCACACTTAGGAGTAATCCAACATAAATGCTTAGAAGTTTTTTTTTTATTCCATTATGTTTTACTGTATTTTTTTTTCAGTGTAGTGGATCATATAAGCTTAAGGATCATTCATCACTCAAAAACAGCAAGACTGTGAAAAATATTCAATAAAAAAAGAAAGAAGCTCCCTTTTTGTCATCTCCCTCACTTAAAGTGTACAGTATTTTATTCAGAGTAACCCATTTCGCATTTCCTGCATCAGTTCCTTTCAGTCTGTGCATGTTAGCAGCCTTCATGTGACGAAAACAAATAAAATATCTGCAATAATAAATTAATGTCTTGGGATTTAAAAATTAAAAGTGTGGATCCGTCCCGCTGCAGCTGCAGCATCACTTCTCTGTGAGAGACAGCTGCAGGATCCTCTCCAGCTCCTCCTCTTCCTCCTTACACTTCCTGGAACAGAAAGACGAACTGGGTTTAAGAGTTTTGACCACTCAAAGTTTTCGTGGATTCGGTGTTTATGCAGGAAAAGTTTGACTGGACACGTTATCGCCTCTATAATGGGAGCTTCACGGACCAAAGAAGGTGTATTTGTAGAGCTCAGATATGGAAAAACTACAATTTATCCCATCATTTGTCAGCTTGTATTAAAAACTATTTTTACAGAAGTAATCAGAAGTCATCTTACATCTTTGTGGACAAATGTTGAAGAGTTTTTATTTTATAATGCATCTTCAAAACAATCGTAAAGAGGTTTGAAGACATTAAGTCATACAAAACCTTGTAATAGATTACGTGCAGCAGGGAAGCTGGAGTCTGGACTGTTACTGGGAAACTGCAGCACCTTTAGTACATTTTATTGGAGTTTTGCTGCTGTTTTTGAGGATCGTTATTCAGCTGCATCGGCCACTTCGGGTCAAGCTTAAACACACTTCTTCAGATTTCACTAGCACAGTAATAGAAACTGTTAATGAGATGAATTTTCATCACCCCAGTGATAGCAATGAACATAAATACAAACAGCAAATAAGTAGCTGTAGGCACAAAAGGGGAAGAGGGGTTCTGGTGAAGTTTAACCAGAGACACACCAAGTATGTCTCTTCCTTAACGGCCCTGATTGCAGACATCCGTCACTCGCTCAGAGAAGGATCAGATCACAATCTGTCAACATGAACCTTTTGCCTGAGGTGACCGCCAGGCAGCCCCCACCTGTCGATCTCCTCCTGCTCCCTGCACGACAGCTCCATGGCGAGCCGCAGCTGCTCGTCGAAGCTGGACGCCACGCCGAAGGGGCCGGAAAGCCTCGGGTTGGTGGCGGCGCTGTAGGAGAGCGGCGAGTTGGAGGCGGGGTCCTGCGGGGACACGGAGGGGGGCAGGCTCGGGTCGGCCGCGTCTTCTCCCTCTCTGCTGGCCAGAGAGATGGAGAGCGACTCCTGGATCGCCCTGAGAGGAGGCAGAAAGAGTTGTCCAAGACGGTTGTTTTCAGGGTCCTTCTGCTTAAACTCCAGTAGAGGATAAAAGAGACGCGCTGCTCTCAGGAGGAGAGAGAAAAAGCTAATTACTGAACTCTATTTTAATATCTTTCCTTAAATTACAGCTCAAGCCAGAAGTTCTCTTCAAGAAAAAAAGATTAAGACATCATTAGAGTTTTAATTCCCACACATTCATGTCTGCAATTTCTTTATGTATTTATTACCTAGATTACTAATCCATTAAAACAAACAGCTAATTATTCTCGACTAACAGTTCCAGTAGAGTGATGACTGCAGAGTCAGCAGCAGATAAAATCCTCTCACCTCTCCAGCTGAGAGTCCTCTTCATACAGCGGAGACTGCGGACCCGGGCGGCTGTTTGTCAGCGCCTCCCAGATGGTCACCTGCAAATTCAGAAGCAAATGATTCCTGGCTTTAGACAGGAGTAGTGCTTGTTGAGAGTTAAATGATTGATTGAGAAACTATGGAGTTAAAACGAGCTCTGCGCTTTTCTAACTCGAGGAGAAAAACTGATGCAAAGACGACAGTAAATTAAAAAAAAAAAATTTGCTGCTTCTGTAGAAGCTACATCAGACTGGACCGACAACGCCAATGACGCAACATTTTTATGCTACATTATTGGCATTTATAACTAAATATAGGGAGAAAATGTCAACAGTTTTCTGAATTGATTTAATGTCTTAACAATAAACTTACTTTTTTCTTCACTTCAAACATGCACATGCCTCTATCAGTTTTTATCCAGCCTTTGGAGGACAGTCAGTCAGGCATCTTGAACTTTTGCACAAAGTCCAGAGCTTAGTCCAGGTGGACTTGATATTTAAGAGATGATTTACTTTTGCTAAACGTGTAAAGGCGGTAGAGACGAACAACGAAACAGAGATGGTTCGACAAAATATTGGCCAGGGGGGATTGATATCTCCACCGACACTAATAATCTAAATAATCTTCCTAATTAGTTGTGTTTTCCTGATTTTAACCATAAATTCCTCACAAATCCTTATCTACATTTTTTTCGTTTTGTTTTTACAAATAGTTCAGCAATATATGGGGTGTGTCATTAATATGCACAAAGATAAGAGGTGACACTGGGAAACATTCAATAGCTGCATCACATTACAGGGAAGAACAGCCCACCTGCTTCATTTCACAAGTCTATAAAAAATATTTATTCTTGTAAATGAAACTGCAGAATAAAATCTATAAACCTGTAACATGCTGCACAATAATCATCAGATCTCTGTGCAGAACTTCATAAATGTTTTCGATCCACCTTACAGACATTCTTCATGGCCTGTTGGCGGAGCCTCTACTCGTCTTTATGACTCACATTTTATTACTGCCATATTTTGTCACATTCTGCTTGTTATAATAAAGCTATCTATCAATAAATCTACCCCTTTATCTATCCTGTCCAAAGTCTCTTGTCTGTCTGAGCCGATCTGAAGCGCTTCCCTCTTTGTGCCGGGCTGGTTACGTTGCTCGGACCTGATCGCTCTCAGTGCCGGCGTCCAGCAGACTCTGCTGGATGGCGAACTGCAGCAGGTTGTCGTCCTCGTCCCTCAGCGGCTCACTGCGGCCCGGCCCGAGGGTGGTGTAATCTGGAGGGGGCTCGAACACCGAAGGGTCCACCTCGCAATGGAAGTCAGAGGGAAGCTGACCTGAGGAGGAAATGAGATGCGTTCATGACTCGATGCCATTAAAACCCCCTGCAGGCGGGGAGGGAGTAGGAGCGCAGCGTAAAACAATCACAGATTGTCTTTGATTGCTTTAAGCCATTATCACCTGGAGATTTTTTTTTGCCCCAAAGCTCAACCTCCAATACAGACCGTCTCGTTTAAAGTTTCAGTAGAGTCCAGTAAACACTCATGAAGATCAACTTAGACATATGTTACTTAAATATGTTCTCTTGTTTTGAAGAGTGGCGACGACACATGGGCCTCTGTGTTACTTCAAATTTACACAAATATTGGAAACAAGGATTACAGATTGAGAGTTCCTACATACTCAATGAATTTAAAAGTAAAGCATAAACTCACTTTGTAAGAACAGGTGAGCAAAATGTTTTGTTACAGGCAACCACATAAAAAAATATGAAATTATTTTCCACTGAAATGCTCTCAAATTAAAGGTTTGATATGGATTATTGTAATATTTTTCAGTAAACGTAGTGGGACAAATGTTTTCAGTATTTCAGGCATGTGATGGAGTCGTACTTACCCTGAGTTCTCTGTAGTTCTCCAGAGTTCTCTGGCTGGTGAACGATCACAGAGCTGACTGGCTCGTCGCAGCCACACAGATTACTGAACGTCACTCTGGCATTCAACACGTGAAACAGGGGAATCTCTGAGGGGCAGAAAGAGAAACTATTGAAAAGGGAAGGTGCAGCTGAGCGGATTTCCTGTGGCTGTCATTCTACTGGATCAAGCAACGTTTCCAAACTAAAGCTTCAGGATTTAAAAAAGCCAAAGTCACAGAGAAGCTTCCTGCAGAACCGAAACATCCCATCAGACGTGCATCTAATGACCGCACTCGCCTATCTTCACAGGGAAGCCTGGTGGGAGCCGCAGGGTGATGAAATCCCGCAGTTTAGCAAAGTGAGCGTTTGAGATGGCCATGAGGTCGATGATGGGCGTCACCTGCTCAGCCAGGGACAGAGGGTGTGTCTCACTCAGCCAAAGTGTGGCTTTAAACCTGAAAAAAAAAAGATCGACAAACAATGTAGTGTGACAGAGATAATAAACGTGACTGATCAGATCTTGCTCTCCCTTCACCAAACCTCTGCACTTTGCTTGTGAGCTCGACGGGGCGTCCGATGTCGCGGCCGTTCAGGTTGAACTCCGGGTTGAAGTATTCCTCGGCTGTGATGGCCGTGGGGTTGTGAGGACTGGCGCACTGGGACACGTTGCTCTGACAGGAACACACACACACAGAGACGCACAGCGGCAGCAGTAAGTGCGTGTGAAAGGACGAATGAGGCAGTGTGTGGGAAAGAACGTGCGCCGGAGGCTCCGTTACCCCGTTGTGAGCTGTGTGCTGCTCTGCAATCCCCAGGAAGGACTGGAGGGGAGTCTTTGAGCCTGAGAAAAACAGGCAAAATACCCGTTTTAATCAATACGGCCAGAGAGAGGATCATGTACAGTACAGCCAAACCTCTGCTCTGTTTCCCGCTCTGTTGACTACCAAGTGACACACACACCAAGCCATTTTATTTTTACATACCAACAAGCCTAAAATGTAAAGAGGAATAAATATAAGTACAGGTTTTTTTTCTCCAAATAAGTACAAAAGAAATGTAAAACCATATACACAAATCTGACAAAATACTGGGAAGTACAGGAATAAAAATAAGTAGTTTAATGTCTCAGCAGCGACAAATTCCCTCTGCCATTGTTTAGTTGACAAGATTTTGCTCCCAAATCATACAGATAGTTTTTCTGTCCCTGTGAATTTTCTCACCTTTGTTTCTGGTCTTGTCTTGGTCTGATAAATGCTCCGTCCTCGATCGGGTCACCACCTCCACGTTGGTGGCACTGTAAACCTGGACACAAAGAGAGAGAGCGTGGACAACACGTCTTCTGACGCTTTCTTTAAAGCTCCCCGCAGTAATTCTGTCAGCATCAGACAAAACAAATGTCTGGAGTGAAAGTGAAACAGGTCTTTTTTTTTTTTTTTTTGCAGACAAACTAAAATA